CTCTCACAAAAATAAATAAAATCTTAAAAAAAAAAAAAAAAGGAGGGGCTCCTGGGTGGCTCAGTCAGTTAAGCGTCTGCCTTCGGCTCAGGTCATGATCCCAGGGTCCTGGGATGGAGCCCCACATCTGACTCCTGGCTCAGCAGGGAGCCTGCTTCTCCCTCTCCCTCTGCCTCTCCCCCTGCCTCTCCCCCTGTTCATGCTCTCTGCTCTCTGTGTCTCAAATAAATTAAAAAAAAATTAAAAAAAAGAAAATGTTTAAAAAGAAATAAAAAAAAAAAAGAAATCACTGACTCCTTGACCTTCACCCAGAGGACAAACATTAAGACCTGTGTAAATCAGGGGTGCAGGAAAAGGAGCAAAGAAAAAAGCCCAAGCTTTTTCTCTCCTGGGGTCCCTTCAGTTTCCCTGTCTTGGTTGCAGTTTCCTACTTAGAAGTTAAGTTGTGAGAATTGCCCAAGGTAACATGTGCACCTTAAAAAAAATATCCCCTCTCCCCCACCGCTTCATTAATTATCATTACGCCTCTCCCCTCACTCTGGTGACAAAATGAGCCACCCTCTTCCCCATACACTCTTCAGGTGGTTCCGGCATTCAGGGGACAAACTCTGAGAAAGATGACTGTTTCCCACAAAAGCCAATGTGGATCTCCAGAAACCTGGATCTAGGAAAAGTCTACTGCCTCTGCTGGGGACTCAGGAATCCCTGTTTTTAATTCATTCAGCTTCAGACCTTTCAGGAGATGAAGTGTGTGTGAGCGTGGGTATGTGACCTGCCACAGACGCTGGTAGGGGGCCTGGGTTAACGATAGCAGGCATTTCCAAAATGCTTCACACCATTTATCTTTCTAGAAAATGAAGCTGTGCGTGCTCGCTTCGGCAGCACATACACTAAAAAAAAAAAAAAAAGTAGAAAATGAAGCTGTGCATTAAATAACAGTTGGGTGACATCATGTCCACTCCAGGGCATGCCGAAGAAGTCGTTAATTCATTCAACAAACATCTATTAAGCAGGTATTAAGTGTGTTGGGCACCATGCTAGATGCCGAGAAAGCGGCAGTGAATAGGACAAGGTCCCTGCCTGAGCAGCTCCTGGCCTACCGGAGGACAGCCACAAGTGAAAAGGAAATTGCAGCCCAGTGTGAGAGGAAGTTCAGGAGCTAGGCATCTAGGAGTACAGAGGCAGTGGCAGCTAGCCCAGCCAGGGGCAGTGGGGGTAGGTCAGGGACGGCTTCCTGGGGAAGTGTCCTCTACACTGTGAAATGAAAGGTGTCTGGGTATTGGGTAGAGGGAAGAACAGTGTTAAGTTTCCGAGGTGTGCAAGAGCTTGAACTTCTGAGGAGTTAACGAACAGAGGGAGGCTGACATTTCAAGTGCACAGCACAGGGTGAGGACCAACTGGATGGCACTCAAGAGGCTTTAGACGGCGCATTAAGGACCTGGGATTGTCTCCTGTAAGAGACACAGAGGGTGCCCCAAAGAGCTTAAACTGCATAGCAGGGAGAAATAAGCACCTGATGGAATCCTTCAGGCCATCCCGTCTCAGAGCTCAGCCAGGATGGAGCTCAAAGCCAGCTCTGGTCTGGCTCCAGCGCTTATTTCTGAGTAGCTGGAAAGTCACTTCACCTTTTTAGACCTCTGCTGCTGTAACAAGTCAGGTTTGGACCGGGTGACATTTACTATTAGTTCTCCGCACTCTCTAAGCCTAAACTAACCCTCTATCCCCTTCTGGGATTTCCTCAATTCCCTTAAACGTCCTCTTTCCTGCTTCCCTCCCCAGCTGGGAACACCTTGCAGGCCCAATTTCTCTTTCTCATCTGTCTCTCCACTAGAGTGCGAGCTCGAAGCAGGCAGCACTATGCCTAACGCATCTATTCATGTATCTTCTTGCTAGGCCCTGGAACGCAGCTGTGAAAGCTTGAATAAACCAAAGCACAGTCCTACACCCGGCACCTTGCTTTAGTGGTTACCGAATGCTTTCGTGTTTGCGTTAGATCCCCACAACAGCCAGAGGCACTGCCAGACCAGGGGATATTACCTGCCATCTTGCTGATGAACGGAGGAGCCTCTAAAGCCAACTGTTGGTTACTATTGTCATTCCCAGGCCAGCATCCTTTCCCCTCCCTAAACTTTAGTCTCTAAGACCTAAGAGGATTATTCCAAGACTGCAGCTCCGCCCGCGCGTCCACAGACCTACCCAACTGCTGCGAGGACGCAAGGTGCCCACCCCACCCCTCCCCCGCTTTGGCGAGGACTCGCCTGCGCCGCCCGCGCGCCCCACGTGCCTCGCGTAAATAAGCGAGTGCGCAGGCGCGCCGGGCCCGCGTCCACTGGCCGGCGCCCCGCCGCCCCGGGAGCAGGGGGAGGGACGCCGGCCCCTCTGGCCACGGGCTGCTCCGCCCCGTCAGTTGGTCCGCGCGTCCGTCAGTCGGTGTGTCCGGGCCTCCGGCTTCGCCCTCGCCATGGCACCCTGGCTGCCGCTGCTGTCGCTGCTGGGGCTGCTCCTGGGCGCCGCTCCCGCCCCGCCCCGCCGAGCAGCCGACGCTCAGGCCCGGGAGGTGGCGTACCCGGCGCTGCTGGGGCCCGCCCGCTTCGCCCTGGAGATGTACAACCGCGGCCGGGCAGCCGGGACGCGGGCGACGCTGGGGGCCGTGCGCGGTCACGCCCGCCGGGTGAGGACGCGCCGGGGGTGGGGGTTTCCCGGTGCCGGTGCGCGGGGACCCTGGTCGGAGGGTTGGGAACTTTGGCCTGGACCCCGGGTGGGGGCGCTGGACGCGGGAGAGACGAACTTCTGGTGCTCGGGAAAGGGAGGGGGATAGGGCGGGGCTGCGGGAAGGACGGGCTGAGGAGGGAGTGGATGTGCCTGCCTCACCCGCCCCTCCATCCAGGCGGGCAAGGGGTCGGTGTATTCCCTGAAGGCGACCCTAGAGGAGCCTCCCTGCAATGACCCCACGGTGTGCCAGCTCCCTGTGTCCAAGAAAACGCTGGTGAGTGATAGGGCTCTTGTGATTACCCCGCTCCCATGATGAGTTTGGGTCAAGTGATGCGGAGGCAGCAACTACCCTACCCTGAGTCATTTCCCAAGGCTCTAAGGGCCAGAGACTAAAATGCCCTAAGAGTGGGCACGACAGGGTGCTGACTTTGCCTCACTCTGCACCGTGGGGGTGATTGCCTTGTTCCTTGGAGGTGGTCTTCACATGAGGCCCTTCCAGCTCCATCTTGCCAAGGCCTTGCTCCCATCCCAGCCCCCCAGAATGGCTTCCTCCTCTCCCTTCAGCTCTGCAGCTTCCAAGTCCTGGATGAGCTAGGAAAACACATGCTGTTGAGACGAGACTGTGGCCCAGTGGATACCAAGGTTACAGGTGCTGGGAGAGCCCAAGGAGGCTGGCATAGTTCAGACCAGACTTCACGCAGGGTTCAACCTTGATCTCTTCTCTGTTCCAACCCTATTCAGATGACAAAAATGAGACTTTGAGTTCAGTCCTTCCACTGTTGAACAAGGAACCCCTGCCCCAGGTGAGGCACCCATCTCCGTCTGGCAGCTGGCGGCTGCTTTATTTCCTCTTTTCTTTCCCTCCCCCTGGCCTGGGCTCCCTGATGGATCTGTGAAGGATTCCTTGTAAAGACCCCCTGTGTCCTTTACAGGATTTTTCTGTGAAAATGGCTTCAATCTTCAAGGAGTTCGTTACCACCTATAATCGGACATACGAGACGAAGGAGGGTGAGGACCCAGCCTTGGCTGTACCTGGCCCAATCAGATCAGGACCTTCCCCCCACTTGGTACCTTGGTGTTGGGGAGGGGAAGGACACACGAGGCAGTGCATCCACTCAGGGACCCCTTAAATCCCCAAGTTCTTGCCCAGTGTCACAGGAGTGGACCGCTACCTCAGGTACCTGGCCCCTTCTCCCATCTGTTTTTCTTGTCAGAAAGCATGGGTCTTCATCATTCTGGATAGAATGGGAAGGGATAAAGGCCAGATTTTCTCTGCTGGTGCCCCCACCTCCCCAGCATGGTAGTCTTTTTCCCATGACCCCCTGTCTGAGGATGCCCTTTGGAGCCCATTTTGGCTATGCCTTCACTCCTGGGATACCATAAATTCAGTCTGGCCCCAAAGTTGTTCCCCCCTCCCCCTCATCACTTGCAGGTCTGGACCTCTCCTCACCTCCAGCCCTCCCCAGAGTTCTGTCCTTGAAAAGAGCTTCAGGCCTGATCCAGAGCCCACCTACTCCCCAGGGAAACCCAAGTGCCTTTCCTTTTATCATCTGCCTGGGATCCAAGCCTTTCCTCTCCTGCTCCTTGGTTCTCAGAAACCCAGTGGCGCATGTCTGTCTTTTCCAACAACATGATGCGAGCACAGAAGATCCAGGCACTGGACCGTGGCACAGCTCAGTATGGGATCACCAAGTTTAGTGACCTTACAGGTAGAAGTGGTGGCCAGAGCCCTCATGGAGCCTGGAAGAGTCAGGGTCTGCTCCCAAGGCCCCTGATGAGGGCTGCCTTATACTCTCCCCCGCCCCCATCCCCTGCCCACCTTTGCCCACAGAGGAGGAGTTCCGTACCATCTACCTGAATCCCCTCCTAAGAGAGAACCGCGGCAAGAAGATGCAGCTAGGCAAGTCCGTTAGCAGCGCTGCCCCACCCGAGTGGGACTGGAGGAGAAAGGGGGCTGTCACCAAAGTCAAGGACCAGGTTGGTCCCCTAAGAGGCAATGGTGGGACATGAGGACTGCACTGGGGTTGAGAGGGGACCCAGCCCGTCTCTGCCCCTCTCTTGCAGGGCATGTGTGGCTCCTGCTGGGCTTTCTCAGTCACCGGCAATGTGGAGGGCCAGTGGTTCCTGAAACGGGGGGCCCTCCTCTCCCTCTCTGAGCAGGGTGAGCATCCCACTCTGCACCCTTACCCCCCCGCCCAGCCCCTCCAGAGGGCTCCTCAGGACCAGCTTTCTGTCTCCTAGAGCTCTTGGACTGTGACAAGATGGACAAGGCCTGCCTGGGTGGCTTGCCCTCCAATGCCTACTCAGCCATAAAGACTCTGGGTATGCATTCATGGGATCGGGAGGGGCAGTGGGACTTAGCGCGAACTGGGTTCAGGTCTTAATGCTGACCCTTAATGAAGACCTCGAGCAAGTCAGCTCTTTGACTTCATCTGTGAAATGGGGCTCGTCTTGCCCACTTCATAGAATTGCTCTGAGTATCAAGTGAGGAGATAATACATAAAGTCCTTGGTGCATAGCAGGGGTCTTGGTGTTTTTGCTGCTTGGAGGTCCATATTTCTGTAATACCACTAAGTCAGGCAGCAACACACCTCACCCTTGAGAGGAGGTATTGACTTAAACTGGCAATTCAATTCAGTGGTGGGCTTCAGCGGCCATGGGGTGAAAGGCTGAGGGACTGGGGTGGCTGTGCAGGGACTGGGAGCCTGGCGGGTCTGGGCCACCCTGGGAGCGGACTTGTGTGGGCAGGACAAGCAAGCCAAGATGCAGAGCCCCAGGAGTGCTGGGATGAGTAAGGATCAGAAGTTGGGCATCGAGTCCCATCCCCTGCCATATTTCTCCCTGGTCTTCCCTCAGCCCCCTTAGTCTCTGTTTTGTCATCTCTAGAGGGAGGCTGTTGTTCAGAGGGCACGGCCTTGGTCCGGGGTGGGCAAGGACCTTAAGACCTCACAGAAGGGGCTGGGGGTAGCCCCTGGCCAGGAGAAGACAAGTGTGTGGAACACAGGGGTCCGTATTTTCATCCCACCCCCACTACCCCCCAGGAGGGCTGGAGACAGAGGATGACTACAGCTACTGCGGCCACATGCAGACCTGCAGTTTCTCCGCAAAGAAGGCCAGGGTCTACATCAACGACTCGGTGGAGCTGAGCCGGAATGAGGAGAGTGAGTAAGGGCCAGGGTGAGGGTGGGGCACAGGCCACCAGGTGGGGCTGGGGCCTGGCTGTCCCTGACGCTGTCCCTCGCCTTTCTCAGAGCTGGTGGCCTGGCTGGCCAAGAAGGGCCCCATCTCTGTCGCCATCAATGCCTTTGGCATGCAGGTAAGGCCCCAGCTCGGCTGCCCCTGCCTGTCCCTTGCCAGCTCCCTTCCCGCTTCTCCTTGGAGGTGGCCCTCTACTCTTTATTCTCCCCACCCCCAGTTCTACCGCCACGGGATCTCCCACCCACTGCGGCCCCTCTGCAGCCCTTGGCTCATCGACCATGCTGTGCTGCTCGTGGGCTACGGCAACCGTGAGTTCCACTGACCCCCTTTCTGCCCATCCCCCTCAGATCACGGGCAGAGGTTGAACCACAGCCTCTCAGGACCTCTGGAGAGGGAAATTGAGGGAATTCCGGGGAACCCTGCCCTTACCCCTGCTGCGGTCCATGGGCCAGGCAGGAGTCATCTGTTCCCTCTCTGGATGGGAATGCTGAGGCAGTGGGAGGCTGAACTCTTAGAGATAAATGACCTGCTAGAGACGGGGGGGGGGGGGCGTGGGGGCGCTGGGTGCCCTCCCCCACCCAGAGCCACACCAGGTCTCCAGGAGGGTGGCAGGTGGGCCTGTCTGCCTTTCTGCTCCTTTCTCAGAAGGCCACAGCAGATAGTGGGAGAGTGCAAAGGGCTGGGGGTCCTGACTGGAGAATTGGGGACCCCTGACCCCCTGCACTCTGCACTGCTACCCAGGCTCTGGCATTCCCTTCTGGGCCATCAAGAACAGCTGGGGCACTGACTGGGGCGAGGAGGTGAGTCTTGTCTCCTTGGCCCCGGCTCTCCGGCCCCACCTTGCCCTAGCGCACTCACCAGCCCACCTGCCTTCCCGCCAGGGTTACTACTACTTGCATCGTGGGTCCGGGGCCTGTGGTGTGAACACCATGGCCAGCTCGGCAGTGGTGAACTGAGGAGCACCAGCTCTGGACCTGGTGCTGACCAGAGCAGCCCCTTCCTCAGCCTGACCTGCGTGTCCAGGCCCCTTCCCAGGAGGCAAGCTGGCTGAGGGACAGGCACCGGGTACCTCAGGGTGAGCAAAAGGCACTGGGCTAGGGCAACACCCCTACCCCTCTCCACCCACCCCTCTCCTGAAGTTCCCCAACGGCACCTTTGTTGACTTGTGGTAGCTAGAAGGCCCTTGGGGTAAAGGATGATGTCCTGGCAGCTGAAGCTGGCTGGGGCAAGAACCTCGGGCTTGGGTAAGGAGCAGGTGGGAAGAAGATATTCTGGTCATAAACCCAGCTTTGTCCTTAGCAAGCTCTGGCTTCTTGCCCTGCCTTTTCCTCTGTCTGATGCTATAACTTTTCTGGTTCCCCCCGGATTTGGGGACTGTTTCCTTCCACATCTAGAGAAATTATTGTAACTTCCTTTTTCTAACAGCAATAAAGAGGTGTCCTAGGCCCCAGTGTGGTGTGAGTGCTTGGTACCTAAGGGCAAAGAGGGGTGGTAGGGACTCCTGGAGGGTTGAGGTTGGGCAGCTGGTCTTGCCCAGGAGCATGAGGACCCAAATTCTGCTTCGGGAACTGAAAAGAGATGGAGAGAAGCTCATGGATCGGTCTTTATTCAGAAGGACGTGGGTGGCCGTTCTCTGAGGCCCTTGCTCCAAGAGATGGATGGGATCAGCCAGAGGGAGCTCCCTCTCTCCGACTCACGTAGAGAACCGTAGGGGTTGAGGTCAGAGGTCACTTTCCCCGTAGAGGGCACTAGAGAAGGCCATGTAATCCAGGGCTCCAGCTGGAGCCCCGGAGCCCTTGTAGGGTGTCATACGACGGATGCAGTACTCGGCCTGCTCGGCGGGGAGTTCCCGCCGCAGCTCCTCGGGAGTGATGTAGTTCTGGGGGAGAAAAGGTTGTTGAGGACCCACAGATCCTGTTCCCTGTCCCAGCCCGCCAGCCCCCTCCACCACCTGGGACTTACCTTATCTCCTGCCAGGATCTTGAAGGAGGCCACAACCTGCTCAGCTGTGTCGGTCTCAGCTGTCTCTCGGGTCATGAAATCGATGAAGGCCTGGAAGGTCACGATGCCGGCTGCGTTGGGGTCCACCATGGTCATAATGCGAGCAAACTCCACCTCTCCCTGCAGGGATAGAGGCCAGGCACCATGCCCATCGTGGGTGCTAAAGCCAGAAGGCTCCTCATGTCCCCTCCTGGGGACTGTCCAGCTTTGGCCTGACAACCCGGGTTACAAAGTGCTCTCTTCCCTCCATAGACTGCCTCAGCCTTAGCTCTGGCTTTACGGGGAGTCCCTTCTACTAAACTGAAACCTGCATCCTGCCCCTGGCAATACCCCCTATTGCCCTTTGATCCTGATCTTTTTTTCTGGAGCTCTCTGTAGTGCTGTTTTCTCTGGGTAAAAATGTTGCAAGCTCAGGCTTTCAAGTCACATACAACGAAGTCCCAATCCTAGCTGTGTTCTTGAGCAAGTTAATTTACTTCTCTGAGCCTTTGATAGCCCCTACGTGAAACGGGGTCATTCTGCCTCGCCCCAGTGGGCGTGATGAGGGGGAAATGAAATGCATGTGAAGGTGGGAGGGATACAGTAGGTGCTCATGGTGTAGAAGAGAGGCACTGATGGGACTCCCGCGACGCGGTTGGGGGCACTCACCAGGTCATAGCCCATGGAGATGAGGCAAGCCCGGAAGTCGTCAGGCTCCATCATCCCATTCCGCTTCTGTGGCGCGTGAGTAGTTATCAGACTTGGTCATCCAACCCCACCAGCCTCCAGGTCCACCACCCCACAGAACTGGGCCCCTGCTGACCCGGTCAAAGTGGTTGAAGGATGCCCGGAACTCGTTGAGCTGCTCCTGGCTCAGGCCCTTGGCATCTCGGGTCAGTACCTGGTTCTCCACCTCATTGATAGCGCGGGCAATGGAGGTGAGCAGCTGCTCCCAGCCTACACGGATGTGCTGGAGAACGGGTGACAAGCCAAGTCAGTGGGTGGCCGGTGCCTGGCCCCTAGTTCTAGCCTCACTCCCAGTCCGCTGTGTGACCCTGGGCAGGTCTTCCACCCTGTTGAGCCTTAGTGTCTGCCAGCAGCCCTTCCTGCCTTGACGTTTGATGACTTACTGTGTATTAAGTGCTGATCACCCAGTTGTGGCCAATCCTGGCCTGGCTTCAGTCGGCTACGTGACCCTGGATGGGTCACTTTCCCTCACCTGATCTCAGTATCCCCACGGGCGCATTGGGAGACCTGGCCAAGCTGAACCGGGGCCCCTCCTGGGGCAGACGTGCCAGGTCCGGCCATGGCTGCCCCAGGCTTCCCCAGCCAGCGCGGCCTCGCCGCCCCTCTAAGCAGGTGCCTCTCACCTCCATGCCGTAGACTGTGTGCTTGTTGTCAAACACCAGGCTCTCCTGCAGCAGCTGGTGGTCACCCTCCAGCCGGTCAATGTTGCTCTTATAGTTGATGATGTTCTGCTCCTGTTGCCGCAGCCCAGCCATCTGTTCTTCCAGAGAGCCAGCCATCCCTGTGGCTAGGCGCCCCACCTCCTGTCGGGGGACCCAGGCAGGATGAGAGCTCCCAGCTCCCTGTGGCCCCGGCCCCGGCCTCACTCCCCCAGATGGGCCCCACCATCCGAGCCATACCTCCACCTTCCCCTGGATCCAGGGCCCAACAGCATTGGCTTGAGCTGCAAACTGTCGCCGGAGCCTCTCGTTGAGCTGCTGCCGGGCGAGTTCTTCCTGTAGTGTCTGGTCACGGCTGGGCACCAGCTTTCGGACCTAGGAGGAAGGGTGCTTGTGCCTGGGGCAGCTCTGGGAGCCAGAGGATGGCTTTGAGGGGACATGGGCTCCAACCCCTAGCAGAGCCCCTGCTACTCTGAGCCAAAATGTCTGGGCTTACATGGACAAGCTCTTGGGCAAGTCACACGACCTCTCTAGGCTTGTTTCCTTATCTGTAAAATGGGGCCGGTGATACAACTGGTAACTTACTGCGGTGGTTTTATAAAGACGTCCACACCCCAGGTTTAATTTCACTTCACATCGGGCCCGACAGGAAAATGCTGCTGTTATGGCCATTTTGCAGCAGAGGCCATGACAGGCAGGGTGACTTATCCAGTGCCCCACAAAGGCTGCGACAGACCCCAGATCCGAAGGTGGACTGGAGTCTCCATAGCTTGGGACACGTGAGGTTCCGGGGTGGTTAGAAAGCACAGCAGTGGGTGAGAAGCAAGGAGAGGTCACAGGCACCACTGACCATGTCCCACTTGGTGCTGATGTCCTGTGGTGTGAGGTTGATGTAGGGATTGGTGGAGCTGGGCCGCAGTCCATATGTTTGGCAGATCTTCTGGATCTCACCCTGGATACCCAGGATGGCTCCTCGCTCTCGGTCAGCCTCTGGCAACGTAGCCTTGAATTGCTCATGTGCAGTCAGCAGGCTCTGGGAGCGCAGGCGAGACCCATGAGCCAGCACCCTCCACTTCCCATGGGCAACGACAAGGGCCACAGTGTGCTGCAGGCCACCCAGTGGGTCTGCTGCAGGCCTCCTGTCTGCCAGCCCAGCATTTGGGAACTGCGGTTTCCCAACCCCATTCCCCAGGAACCCAAAGAAAGAGCTGATGGGATTCTAGGCCCACTTCCCTGTCCCTCCCCCAGTCTCCCTCCCCACTTGGAACCCCCACATCCACCTGGGTCTCCTCCACCGAGTGCACCAGCCACACGTCTTGCAGGTCCTCCACGGCCCCATCCAGCCAGTTGTTGAAGGGTGCTGCCCGCCGGGCAAACTCCAGCTGCAGCTGGTCGATGGTCTCCAGGAGCTTCTCCATCCGCTAGGGGCCACGGGGATGGCGAGTCAGCAGCCTGCCCAGCGGGCCCCTCACCAGCCTCTGGTCTCCAGCCCCCAGCTCCCTGGCGCCCAAACCCACCTCCAGCGCGTCCCTCCTCTTCTGGGTCAGCGTGCCCAGGTTGTCCCACTGGTCACAGATGGCCTGGCAGCGGCTATTCACTGAGGCTGCCTCGTGGTAGTCCAGCTCACTGGGGGCAAGGAAGGGGATGACAAGGGGGTCAGACCGCAGCCTAGATTTCCTCCTGACTGCCCTCCTGGGACTGGAAGCTGTGCCCCCAGACGGTGAAGGCGCAAGGCAGCCAGAGCAGGTGTGGGTGAAGCAAGGCATTCCTGGGGGGTGGAGGTGGGGGTTCCAGGGCATTCCTTGGGGAGGGGGCGCCTGCGGGTCCTCAGCTCCAGTCCTCTGGGGAGCTTCAATAGGGAGGGGGAGTGGAATTGTGCAAGAGGGGCGGGTTTACAGGAGGAGGTGGGGAAGCTGAGGCTGATGGGGAGACTTTGAGCTAGCAGGCCAGGGCCGGAAGCTGAAGGGGGCGGCCAGGTTAGGGGTAGGCCACGGGGGTGGGGCAGGCCGAACATGGATGGGTAGGGAAGAGTGTCCCGCGATGGGGACAGGGTTACTGGAGGAAGGACAGAGCAAGTGGTGATGGGGAAAGACGTGGAGGGAGAACTGGGGAGAATGAAGTTTGCGGAGGGCAGAGGGGAGAAGCCAGGTACGGTAGTTGTCCCCCGGGGGGAGGGGGGGGCGGGCCCAGCAACGGGCCACGCCTACTTGAGCTCCTGGGCCAACGCGGCGATGTGCTCCACGCGGTCCTGGTGCGCGGCCAGGTCGCTCTCAAAGGCTTCGTGGCGCCGCAGCAACGCCCGCACGTCCTGCAGGGAGGCCGACTCGTAGTCGTGCTGGCTCAGCATATCCTCCTTCCCTACTCGGAGAGAGGCCCGGCTCGGGTCACCCACCGGGGGCCGCGTTGGGAGCTGGGCTCGGCTCACCCACCCGGGGCCGCGTTGGGAGCTGGGGTTCGAGCTGGGTTGGGTGACCTTGCAGAGTCCTCCCTCATCTGTGAAATGCAGGTGATTACACCTGCCCAGCCTATCCTCAGGGTCTGCTCTGCGATGCCAGACTGATAAAGTTAAGTGAAGCTCCTGTTCCTGGGCATGGCCTGTAAATGGCTTCAGCGTCCCTGATCCTGCACGTCTCAGGGTGGCCCTGGTACAGTTTGGATCTTACTGGATCGCAAACTACCTCCCAAGGACTCTGCGCCCAGTGAGCCCCCGACCTGGTTTCCTTTGCTCACCAGTTTCCCCAGAGCCTGGCACAGTGCCTGGCACTTGGGAGACCTTCTAGGAATATTTGTTGGATGAATGAATGATGAATGTAAAAGTGCTTTGAGAATGAATTACATTACACAAATAAAACCATAATAATAATAATCTCAGCCCCTACTACTTATTGAATGCCTCCGCATTTTGCAGAGACGCTAATAGGCTTAAAGATTCAGAAACCTCCTCAGAGTCCCATAAATAGCTGTATATTTAAGGAATTCTTGCTATATCAAACCATTGTTATCCTTCATGCCCATAATCCATTATTAACGTTTGTTCATTATCTTTAGGCAGGGCTCATTTATT